AATGCCTGGTTGCTCAAAAGTACATAACAATTTTAAGATAAAAATGCTTCTGTGGCTGTTATGACTAGACTATTTTGTGCTGTAGTGTACCTGATGGAGCTGGAAGGAAATGGAGGAGGAAGACTGTCTCAAACAGCTGTGACTCTCCCCTGTGACCTGCATTTAGTGGGCTATTAGCAGACAGGTGGGAAAGGACTCTCTCAGTCCAGTGGTCCATTCCTTAGCACCTAGGGACATGGAGTCCAAAGACGTAAACTGAATCTCTCCAATGGCCATTTCTGTAGGGAGAGGTCAGCAGCCAGCTGGTGTTCTGGGAGTGTGCCTGTGTGTTTGGAAAATGTAGATCTTTCCTGGACTCAAAGCCATTCCGAACCCCAGCAAGAGACACTCATCCTTGGAAGAAAGTCACCCTCCAACTTACCGAGAAATACACATTGCCTTCAGGCAAGACTCCTCCAACAACCAGATCGCCTCCCGCGAAGGTAGAGCCATCTGTGACTCCCAAACCCACCCAGCCAGCTGTTTGGACCTGGAGTTCAAAAGTGATCAACTCAGCCTCAAGGTCAAAGTCCCAGCGCAGGAAAACGACATTGGAAGGGTCTAGGAACCTGGAATAACGCAATCGAGATGTGGGGCCAATGCGGTTGCCTTGGGAGGGGGCTGCCAGAACCATAAGTAGAAGGATCATGAAGAGAAGGTCACAGGCCATGGCTCCTGGGGTCTGGAGTATCTCTGCTGTAGGTGAACACTCCATAAGTGTGGACTTATATGTGCTTTCCCTGTGCTGGGCACCATGCCATAGGGGAGGGACAGACTGGGGTTCTTTTGATCTGATCATCCCCTGGGCTCAGAGTGGTGCCACTTACATAACCTTGGAGGGATGAGGTGTCCAGAGAGGGTACAGAGCAGATTGCTCTTGCCCTGGGCTGGGAACTTATTATGAAAATTCTCAGGAGTAAATCTTTGAGCCTCTTCCACCCAATCTCATGCTAGTGTCCTGACAATGGAGACCTTACAGAATCAAGGGAGGTTTAGTTACTCTCCTCGGTTCTTTTCTTCTCTCCTCTCCTCCCCTCCATTTTCTCTCCCTCTCTTCACACACCTGGATCCTTGGATGTCCTTACTGAGCACTCCATCCTCTGGCGTATGTCCCCCACCCCAGTTTTCATGGGCATTTTCTATATATAGAAATGGGCATGAGCAGAAGTGTGGTGGGAGTGCCTTTGAACCTGCTTCCCAGTGCAGCAGGAAAGAGAGCAGTTGTTGGGAGGGGGTTAGGGGAAGGCTACGATTTCTATCTCCTGTGGGAGTCTTTTGCTGCTAATCCCTGGAAGGACATGTAGAGGTGAAGGAGCCATAATCAGCTTTCAGGTGGGCAAGTCTGGGCAGCTTTGAGTTTTTGCACATTCCCGGGGAGGAGCAAGGAGGAGGAGGAGGAGGAGGTGAAGGAAAGCAGAGGGAGAGAATAGGGATAAACATGAACTTGCCTCTGAGAAGCTTCGTGCTTTATCTTTCCTCCCAAGGAACCTACAGGGACTTCCACTGAAGGCTTGGCCCAGCATCCCCACTGGTGTTCTGCAAATAATAAACGGCCAGAAAAAAATGTTAGAATATTAGAATACAAGAGTAAAAAGTGATATTAGAACCACTAAAATTTTTCAATCCACTTAATTTCTAGATGAGGAAACAGAAACACCAAGGGTAACATGAATAGTGCATGTGCCTGGTCACTGTGCAGGCAGAGCTACCAGGACAGAGGGCCCTGCCTCCAGATCAGTGCTCTCTCCAGCAGTCCCTTAAGTCACAAACACCAACAAGGCACCTGCTCCCACTGTACATTTCCACCATGGTTCATCCTGGATGTAGTTGGTGTCATCACTGACTGCTTCTTTTGGAGGGGCCCAAATGCTCACCCTTATACCAAGGTTCTTTCTGTCCAGGGTGAGACACAGGTGATCTGGAGCAGGAAACCACCTCATTGACCTCTTCCCATCCAGTGTCCTTCCTCCATTAAACAATGGACAGGCTCCTCCCCACAGGAATGCAGTCAAATGAAGGTGGCAAGGAGCTGGAACACCTGTTTATGCCTTCATTCAGAGCATGCATATTCTTCTTCTCTCCTCCCTCCTACAAGGGCAACCATAACACCAAACTCGGAGAATGAGAGAAGGTAGATAGCTAGGCAGCCACCTGGAAGAAAGAGGCTTACCTTGGCCTAGGTTGGGAGCCAGGCCAAAATCAGAGGAGGAGCTTGGGGAGGCAATGACCTTGAGGAGCAGGAATTCAGGTAGGAGATAACAGGAGTATCGGAGACACTCTGATCCCAATCACATTTGGGGATTAAGGCAAAGGGAGGGGACGGCAGGGAGACAGGACAGCCAGCCTAGTAAACTGAGATGTGCCCAAGATCCCTTATCCTGCAATCTGCCCAGCTCAGCCTCAATGCTGGCCTCAGGAGGAGGAAGAGTCATGGAAAAGAGCTGGAGTCAGCCATTGCTAGCCAGAGAATCTATGTCTGGGCACCTTCTGGCTTCCCAGGGGGCTTTCCCTTTCCTCCTTTGTTCCCCAGTTACACTTTCCCCCTAACTCCCCCCCCCCCTTTTTTTTTTACCATCTAATCCCCAAAGAGACTTTCTCAACAGAGAGCTCAGAATTAAATGCACGTGGTTTGCTGGGTGAGGACACCTCTCTTGGTCCATGCATTTTTCTGTCATTCAGGATATGTGATTTGGACACTGCTTCCTGGAGCTTCATCCCTTTCCATCTCCGGGGTAACAAGGTGGGAACCGGTAATGGAACAAAAGGCAAAAGTGAATCAGCACAGGAGTATTTAGAAAGTAGTGCAATTGACAGTTTGTGCACAATTAGATTTGAAATAGGGCGATGCAAAAAAAAAATTATACACAAAATTGTATAATGAAAATCTATTTTTCTTAAATCAAGAGAAACACAGCTTTAAAGTTGGCAAGACAAGTGAATTATAAATTGTATTATGCTGCCACCAAATGGATCCTTTGTCAAAATCATGGGAACTCGCCAAGACTGGTTTGGCTCAATGGATAGAGCGTCGGCTTGGGGACTGAAGGGTCCTGGGTTCGATTCCGGTCAAGGGCATGTACGTTGGTTGCAGGCATATCCCCAGTAGGGGGTGTGCAAGAGGCAGCTGATCGATGACTCTCTCTCATCGATGTTTCTAACTCTCTATCTCTCTCCCTTCCTCTCTGTACAAAATCAATAAAATATATATTTAAAAATATTAAAAAAAAATCATGGGAACTCTATTGCATGTATTACAACTTCTGAAGATTAAAAAAAAAAAATTAGTGAATGTGGGAGGTACAAACCTCCAGGTGCCAGCTGCTGCTGGGCCCTGATGTGGGGACTTTCCAGGGACATGGGTCTGCAGATTTGCCCTGCTCTGGTTCCCTCCATCATTTATCAAGTGTCTGTGATGGGCAGACACCCACTTGGAATATTGACTTGAATATTGTGCAGTTTCAAGTCTTGAAATAGTGAGGTTCAACTGCTTCTCCATACTGTTGTCTGTAAAATACTGAGGTGGGAGAGATGGTTGATATGGGGCCTTATTTTAAAGCGAATTTGCCAGATCACTGGTTTCTAAACTTTCTGGAAAAATGAGGCCTCTTAATGCAAAAAGTTAGGAGAATTTATGATTTTAATCTCTGGTGGTTAAGTGATAGACATTTAGAGAAAGATAAAAACTATTATTAATTCTATCATATTTTAATTGAATTTGAAATTTGCCAATGCATAAAAGTTCACTTTACAAAGGGCTTATCCTGTGCCAACCTTTGCTCTAAGAACTTTCCAGGTATTAATCCATTTATCCTTATGAAATAACTTCCATTATTATCTCCATTTTACAGATAGAGAAACTGAGGCCCAAAGTCACACCACTAGATAATGGCAGCACTATGAATCATTGGGGAAAATATAACTAAAGATAAAAATCTCCTCCCAATTCAGAATCTTGTCACAAAGGCCGAAGAGAGAGAAAACACATTTATTGTTGAATAAGCTTTAAATTAGAAGGTGACACATCCCAGGCATTTCTTTCAGAGATCAAGACAAAGAAGTCTAAGCCTTTTCTATAGGCCAGCAGAACCCATTACACACATGTTCTCAAGAGAAGCAACAACTGGCCCTCAAATGAGAGGACTTGACAGGACCCTTTGCTAATCCATAGTTCATCCTAGTGTCCCTTAGTAACCAGGATGTCCCTCTGTGTTTGCTAACCGCCTTTATCTAAAGAAAAAATAAACTTGGCATATCTTTACGACAGTTATTTGCAGCTTTCAGTGCAACGTCTGCTCTAAATTGTGTTTCGGTTCATTCTCCTTGATGTTATAGTTCAAAGTGTTGCTTGCAGGTCTTTGAGAAAGACATCTCTGGGTCTTGACCCTGGCAAGAATTGTTTAGCTTTTAAAAAGATTTATGTACTGGTACACTTCAAAGAGGCGGAGAAAGAACTTACAAGTTTTCTAAAGTAAATGTTCTCAGAAAATGGAGGAGAGGGAAGTCTCTTTCGTTACTTTTAACTGGGAGAATTAAGCTCTGCTGTTGAGTTTATATTCCCCCTTCCAGAGGGAAACACCGGTAACTGGAGATGAGCATCTATTCTAAGGCCCAGTGTGGCCTTGCAGCAGCCTTTGCCCACACACAAAGCATATGGGGGAGGAGGGTAGTCCTTGTTTAGTCTCCAAGGTCTTTTGGTTGCACTGAGTTGCAAAGGGTTGAGGCACAGCTCAGGAGCACCATTCTAGGACACTCTGAGATACAGAGAGGGTGCAGGGCCAGTGAGTGAAGATTCTGGGGACCATGGGGATGTGTGCCTGCATGTGTGGGAGTGGGGGTTGGCACCAGACGCAGGAAACGCTCTCCAATTTGAGGTTTGAGCTTCACTGAAAAGATGAGAAAGAAGTTACGTTTCCTGGAAAAGCCACTCCCTTTTTAGTTTCAGGCCCAGAGTGTGTCAGCCACTAATTGCCTCCTTACAGGCCAGGGTCCTGTGCTCCTGCCTGGCTGGCCCTGTCCCCCTGCCATCGGAGAAGACCCCAGGGGCCAGGGAATGGCATCGCTTTCCCTTCTGTGGGGCTGGGTGCTCATGGCTGCCCTGAGCACAGGTGAGACGCCAGGAGGATAGAGCCACTCAGAAGGATAGAGTGGGTTGATGGACGGAAAGAGAGCTGGGTCACTGGGGCACCAGGAGGCACAGAAAGTTTGCTCCTGGTCCAGATACTCCCAGGGATAGCCTCTTGCCCTGAGAAAGTATCCTTTCTGTCCCCAGATGTCTCCTATCAATACCGCTCATGGGACTTCCTCTTCAGGATTTGCCTGTCCTAGTTATTTCTGGGGCGACCTTCACCCCCAGGACCTCCAGCCTGGCCTGTCTGTGTATTTCAGGTGCCAATGCGAGCTTCGTGGAGCAAAGGCCCAGGTGGGCCCTGGTACGTCGGGGACAGGCTGAAACCCTGAGCTGCTTCCTGAAGGATGCCCAGTACCCCTTTATGAGCTGGTACCAACAGGATCTCCAGGGGCAACTCCAAGTGCTGATGGCCAATCTGCGGTTTTCTGGGGACAAGGAGGTCAAATCCCTTCCTGGAGCAGATTACCAGGCCACTCGGGTCAATGACAAGGAGCTGAGGCTGCAGGTGGCCAATGTGACCCAGGGCAGAACCCTGTACTGCACCTGCAGCAAAGACACAGTGAGAAGCCTTCCTTGGACAGATGAATAAAAACCATGTTCAGTTCCCACCCACGGACCCAAGCTCCTCCTCCTCTGCCCGACAGTACCTCAAGCCTGCTTGTCCCCGCCCCAGATCCTCCCTTCTGGCCTCTTTACCACAGGTGAACACAGCCTGCATAGCACAGCGATGGACCACAGGTCTGGACCACCTGCAGACCTTGGCTCTGCCATCTGCAGTTCCTGTGTTACAGACAGCAACTCTACTCAGCTCAGAGGGCCCCTGCGAGGATTAAGCATAAGGTACAGGTACACTGGAAGCTCTTAATTAGCATTAGCTCCAGCATATGGCATTTTATTACCAGTCTCAACGCTCACAAGGGTGCTCGAAAGAGAGGATTCTGGGAGCTCAGAAAAGGTGAGAACGAATGTGGACCTGCCACTCACATCTGTGGAACAAGTAAACACCCACTTTTCCAATTAGATCCCATTCTCAGTGCACACCACCACCTCAGCTCCTCACACCCAGTCTCAGATTGACCGTTTTAAAAGTGAGATCCTAGAGAGGACAGGAATCTGGAACTCACCGTGGAGGGCTTAGCCAATACTCAGCTTTCAAAAAGCCATGGCTCAGAGCCGGGTCTGCACCTGGAGTCAGAACAGGCCATGGTTATGAGGCCAGACCCCAGCAAACATCCGGGAACCGCCGCTGGGAGGTGCATTGTGGGACAGACCAGGACTTGAGGCCTCTGCAAAGACGGGAGGCAGGCTGGGCTGTAGTAGCTGAGCCACTCTGCTTCTATTAATAGTTCGGAGCTGCTGCATCCAAGTGAGCAGGTAACTGTGGTGCAGGTGGGAATGAGTGAAGAGTAGGCATTTCAAAGGTACCTCAGTCGCTAAAGGAGGGGCTGCCAGGCACCTTTTCCTCAGCACTTGTATAGAGAGGAGAGATTTTTTTTTTCCATCAGGGGGCGCCATCGGCCCACAGTTCTCCGAGCTCCGCACAGAGGGCCTGTGATCAGTCACAGGTGTTGGTCCTCTCTCAGCCTCTCTCAGGAGCTATGGTGAAAACCTGTTCGGCTCTAGAGGAAGACAGTATCGGGAGGCGGTCTAGAGCCCAGCGCAGAGCCGGTTCCAGAGTCCTGGACACATTGTGATACGTGTGTCCACTCAGCCCTCCAGGAAGGGTACTCCTGTTTGAGAACACGGTCACTGGGAGGTCCTTGGCCACCAAGACGCTATTAAATACAGAGCAGATGGCAGGCCCTGGGCAACCAGCTTTTAAAGGTAAGCTGAGGCCCTCTGCTGGAGTGATGGAAGCCACCATTGATCTGATGGGTTCCCTTTTACTTCAGTCTCTGAGACCTACCTGGAGATTTCCCAGATGCAGTTCTGCTCATTTGTACCATAAACTGAGATTAATACCATTGCTGAGGCTCTAGGTGCTTAAACTAGCCCTCCTAGACTGATGGATGCTAGGGGTTCAAACAATACTTTTTGTTGTTTTACTAACGTACCTTTTAATCCATTGTTTATTGCTTGTTTTTGCTTTGTGATCCAATCTGAGAATGTTTTGTTTTTAAAATATCTTTAATTTTTTTTTCAATTGGAATTGACATTTAATATTATATTTAACAAACAATACTTGCTCTGTGATTAAGTGGATTATGTTATTCCCTCGGTAAACTGAAAAGACTTTACCTCACTTATGCATGGTTCTGTTTAATATATTGCTACCAACTGCATGTGTACTTCTGTGATATTAAGATCTCTCAGAGGGTTGCCCTGAAGAAAATAAGAGAACAGAAATCTTCTCAGGAGACAGAAATTTAATCAACATATCTAGTAGTTCTCTTTCTTGAGGCCAAATGTATATGCCTTTCTTGGGAGTGGCAGGTGCTCAGAAGGAGCATGGAGGAGGAAATGCTTGGGAAATAATTATGTAGTATGGATTTTCAGGGTCAGCTTGAGCAGGAGGATAATTTTATCCAATGGGAATTCTCACCAGAATGCTCTCACTTGCAAAGACTCTCATAATCAGATGGACAAGCTGATCTGGTCTGAAATTCTTTCTCAGTGTTTTTTAAATGGCTTTATAAACAAAGGAAACAATGGGACCACAAGGGACATATGCAGGGACTTCTTGCCTGGCTCACCTGGTTACCACCACTGCTGAAGACCCCATTGGCCAGTGTCAGTGACCAACCTCAGTCCTGATCTATTACTATACTCCAGGTATCCCACCAGCCAGGTAGTAGTAGATGGACCCCTTGCATTACGCTCTTTGTCCACACTGAAAATGACATATTCTAGATTTGGATTTTCTTTCCCTTGTCATCGTCACTCCCAGCCCCACCATCCTTGAATACACATAGTCCACACACAAAAAAGGAATGTATTTTTCAACTGAGGAAGTCATCTTATAATGACAGTGATCATACAGCAAGCTGATGCCCAGGGAATTCAGTGCCCTTAACATATGCTTCGTCATCTAGAATCATCTGAACTTATAAAACATCAGTATGAACTATTGAAATCTTAGCACCATTTCAAGCTGGAAGAAATCTCTATTTGCCTGCAAAAACCATCTATTTCTACCAAAGCTAAAGTTTCAGTTAATAACTTATACAAAGGTGAAGCTCTCACAATTGCACTTAATAATCCACATACAAAATGTTACTTTTCAACAAGCTCGGCTTCACTGCTTCAGAAGTTTTAGAAACTTAGAGAGGACAAGATTTGCTGGTGTAACTTATTATGTCATAAACCCACAGTCTGCCTCTGCATTAACCTCCCATGGCTCAAGACCATACTTAGATTCCTGCAGAATGAATTACCAGAATCTATGCCTGGTGTTGAGAATTGGATGGACGAGGAAAAACAAAGTGCAATATCTCCCAGAGCCTCCCTCCTTACACCCTTTCCTCTGACCTAGACTTCTGTTTAGCCTACTTCTTGTCAAACTTCCTTTCCCCAAAGTCATATGTAAGTTGCACATGTTTAATTCCATGCAAGTAGTAGGCATTTTGTCACTCCACATGGCTATCGAGAGGCTTTTTTCCTCCACAATAAGTCAACTTGTTAGAAAGAACACTATCCCCATTTCATAAACTTTAACTGTCTAAGGGGAACTGAGTTTGCCATCTTCATTGACAGGGGAAATTGGAGGATTGTCGCATATAGTCACAGTACAGGTATGTACAAGTCACCTTCTCTGTTGTACAGAAATGAGACAAGTAAGCAGGATGGAACCCAAGAAGTCTATTTAGAGTTGCTTGTGAGGCTGGACATGGGTACAGGTTGTGTCAAATGGTCCAGAATTCCTGCAAAGGGAGCTCAGTTGTTTTGAATTGTACTTTCAATCCAGGGTACATAGTTAAAGATTCTGGTATAGATGCCAACATCAGCTCTCAAAACACATCCATCAGTAAAAGCAAGGATTCCTTGAAGTATCCCATTGCAGACTGCTGGGGCAGCTGAGACTTCCTGCCAAGAAAAAGGAAACTGGGTTATCTTTCTGGCAAAAGGCACTGGACCAAAATGGGAACAGGAAGATATTGAGAATAGCTCACCTTGCAGGACCGCCTTCTTCCTGGCACAATGCCCAAACACAACATACTTTGTGTGATGTCATAACTTTTATAGGCGTTGCGGCAATCAGTCTTGGAGATAACAGAGATGTTCACATTCTGCAGTGAGTCAGGGTCCTTGGCTATAGGAAAGAGAGAAGTAAAATGTCCTCAGATACCAAACCTTCTCTTTTTTCCCTCTTCTTCAGCATATTTCCTCTTCTCCCAGCAGAAAGGAAAAGAGGCCAAATATTGAGAGAAATCAGAACTGTGACAGCTAGGACAACAGGAAAGTATATTTGTATAATTTCTCATGATATAAATGTCTATCTCCTTACAAAACAGATTAAACTCTTGAAAGTTGATCTCTACAATGAAATGAAACAAATTACTTAAAAAATTTTTTCTGGAAAATTTAAAGAGAGTCCTGTGAAATGAAGTTTTATTTATTTATTTAGCTTTCATATTTTTTATTTGTCCCATATTTTAAATTTATCACTGACTCCTTTGTAAAAAATATTTTATTGATTTTTTTTCACAGAGAGGAAGGGAGAGGGGTAGAGAGTTAGAAACATCAATGAGAAAGATCGATCAGCTGCCTCTTGCACACCCCCTACTGGGGCTGTGCCTGCAACCAAGGTACATGACCCTTGACACCAATCGAACCTGGGACCCTTTAGGTTAATGTTTTATTCACTATGCCAAACTGTTTAGGGCCACTGACTTCTTTTTAATTTATTGAAATATATTTGACTTGCAATGTTGTGTACATTTAAGGTGTACATGCTGATTTGATATGTTTATAGTGTAATATGATTGCCATTGTGGCAATAGTTAGAATCAATATCATGTCGCATAATTATAATTTCTTTTTTGTGGTGGAAATAATTATGATGTAGTCTCTTAGCAAGTTGGATTATAATACAAAATAATCCATACTGTGCATTAGATTTCCAGGACTTGTTTATCTACTAATTGCACGTTTGTACCCTTAAAGTTCTATATGTCTATTTTGAGCTTAAAGGAATTTAGAGAGCTCTATACTTAGTTTTTCATTTGTCAGATTAAAAAAATCCAGTATATGCTCACAAAATTAACTCAAAAAATGATTTTTTTTAAACCTATAACATGAGAATTTAAAAGTTCTTTAAAGAACTTAAAAGTTGGTCTCTTGATTTCTAATTCAAGTTATTTCCTTTATATCAATGTTTTGCAAATACTTTAGACTGTGAAGACTCATGGCAAAGTTTTTGTGTGTTTTTTATTTCAGTGCAACAGAATGAGATAAACAAAAATAAAGTAATATTAATATTTATTTTAGGTATTCTTGCCAAGGAGTTTTCATTGGGAAAGTAGTTTATTTTGTTTTTCTAATAGGATTATGTTTATTTGAATTTCTTTATCTGTAAATGGTATATTTATTCTTACAAATAAATTTTTCTAAAATATATTTTATTGATTTTTGTACAGAGAGGAAGGGAGAGAGATAGAGTTAGAAACATCAGTGAGAGACAGTCATCGATCAGCTGCCTCTTGCACACCCCCTACTGGGGATATGCTCGCAACCAAGGTACATGCCCTTGACCAGAATCGAACCCGGGGGCCCTTCAGTCCCCAAGCCGACGCTATATCCATTGAGCCAAACCGGTCTTGGCCAAATAAAATTTTTTATGTTCTTTGTTTTATTTTCCAGTCCAGCAATAATGGTATGGCTGAGCATTTCTTCT